GACAGATGTGACCTTTCAAAATAAAATTTAAAAGGAGACCTATCTTATCATTTTTTTTATGACTAAATGCGTCCAATTTCAGTCTCGTGTCACTAGGAGAGTAGTCAATAAATTAACATGTCTTCCATCCCTCTCAACTTTCACAATTTTTACCAACATTTAACTTGCTCAAAGCTTCTGATGATAAAATGAGGTTCCGTCTTACACAACACACATCCAATGCTAGATAAGGGCAAGCCATATGTACCAATTACCAATCATCCCCTAATAAGAAACACAGTGGCTGGTCAAGTCCACAAATTGATTTGGGTTTCAGATTTAAAACATTTCTTAAATTAAACTTAGTTTTTACAAGTTTTATTAAGTCCCAAAACTGCACACTAAAATAAAACAAATGTCTTTGTAAAAGTCATCATTTTTCTTCATTGGTAAAGTTTATGGATTTAAATTTAAAAAATAAAGTTACATGTATCTTTAGAGGCCAAGGAGACCGCAAATTTTGCCAAAATCTTTAAAGCTGTACACTGTACATAAGAAAAATTTCACTATATTTAAGATTGTATGATGAAAAGTGGGGTTTGGAACTGAGAAAACCGTGTACTTATTTTTGTTTATCATGCTAGTTATGTCTGTCACCCTTGGTTAAAATAGACAGGACCACTGAGTTTCCCATCAAAAGCATCTGCTTTGCGTGTTATTCAGATCAGCTAGACAAGAGGAAGCGTTCCGATCTTTTTTTATTTTCTCTCTCCGTAATTCCAATTCAATAGGTGCATTTAAAACCATGTTAGCATGATCTATGTGCTTCACTGGGTATATAGACACTGAAATATTATATGTGGATAGAAGATGTTCACCACTGTCTCTCTGCCATGTCTTAAATCACAGCTATATAGTATATTGAACAGAAAAACCACAGCTATATATTCAACAGAAAAACTACAGTTCAATTACTCTGTATTGAATAGGAGTAGAGACCTAGTGCACACAAAAGATGTTCAATTTATATACTGGTACTAAAAAACTTTACTGAAAATCAAGCCTAATCTTTGATATACCCATTTAGGTGTTTTCTGTTAAAATATTTTCCTACTTTAAGGAGCCAGTGTGTTACTGATATGAATGATTCAACTACATAGCAGGTCAAAATATACCCAGTACTCATAAACAGGTACTTTCTACAATAGGATTGTATTAAATGATGAAGGTTATATGGAACAATGGAACACAGGTTATATTATATAAATATTGCATGTAGTTGAGTGTACACTCAACTACATGCAATATTTATTATATTATACTGAATGTTTTATACAAACACATATGAACCGTGGGCGCATAAATTCTGCGCAGTCCCTATTTTTTTTTAATATCACCCATCGTCAAGCAATGTTGACTGTTGCTAGGCTGGAGGGCGTGGCTTCATTATTCAGCAGGTAATAGTGTTTTATAACAAGTGTTTCTCGACCAATCAGATTCAACTAATTTACACGAAAGTATAATACTGAGGTTTAGATTCAATCAATGTACATGTATGTGGTAAAGACTATACATGTGACATTGTAGTCATAATGGCTAATCACCAATAGTTAGTGACCAATATAAGAAATAATATTAAATTTCAGTTTTGTAAATTTAAGGTTATCTAAAAATCTAAAGTATTTACAGTACAAAGAGGACTAAGCATGATTAGTAAACATCGTAATGCTGCCGTTGATGTTCAATAAAAAATCAAGCAACTGATGATGAAATCTCCCTTGAAATAAGGGAATTACAAGCAGTTGGTAGAGAATTTATTCTAGTTGTGGAGTAAGGAGTTGACCCTTATATCGCTGGTTCAAATCCCACAGAAGGACGTGGAGATTGGTCTTTCAGATGAAATGATGTAAACTGACTCAGAGGTTCTTTGTCAACATAGTTACTGGCACGAAAAAGATCCCTCACTGCTTAAAGACTTTAAGTGCCGAGTACAAGACTAAATTTGCCGTCTTCCACCTGCCAGCAAGTGGTGGCATCTCAATGTGGATGAAAAGTTCTCAAAAGGGATATGTTAAACAAACAAAACAAATAAGGGATAATCAATAAGTATACTCTTTAATGATAAGCAAAAAAAAGTTTGTTTTTTTTTAAATTATATTTCGTCTACTAACTTTATACATCTGAGAAGACTGAGATAGACCTCTGACTATAGATTTAAACACTTTCTCTTCTCTATGTGAAATCAAAGAGAACACTCCACTTCATTTAAAAAATCAAAATGATGCTATGTCATCATGAGTTAACTTCTTACCTTAAAATGGTGATAAATGCAAGCTGGAAATTTATCAAACATATCAAAGGGGGGTATTCATCTTGAAATAATCCTTTTAAAAGAAGCAAAAGAAGAATAAAATGACCATTATGGTGTACACATAGTATGTGTAGAAATAGAAGGCAAGTAGGACCAAAACTCTATCCCTTAGCACTCTCAGTGGGCCAAATTTTTCACACCCTACATTTTGGACCTATGGGTGTGTTAACTTTCCTAAGTCAGTCCTGAAAAAATCAAACAATTAGTGTATTTACACCACCTAAATTTCTTGATTAATAAAAGCTGTAGCCTGGCATTAGACATTCATTCCATCCTGTAACCTTGACATTTTCCCCAAATGACCTTGATGACAGTTCTCAGACAACCTTTTTACATGAACTATAAAGTAAATGCTTCTACACTGCTTTAGTTTACATTACTAATCATGCTGATCTCTGCTGCATGGGAAGGAATCAAAGATAGACAGACACACAGACATATTTCAGGTCCTGTGACCTTGACCTTCTATAGATCATTTCATCCTTAACATGTCGGAGTCCTAACTGAGTTAACTTACTCCTCAATGGCATCACATTGTTTCATGAGCCCGGGCTACAAAATGTGAGGATGAACTTGATTTTTCTCTATTAAGTAGAAATGGGCAGTTCTTTTTTAAAGTGAACAAGTCTCTCGTTATTCTTTTTCACAGTATCTTTTTCATGAAAAGAAATTCAAACTTTTCTTTTTTTTATAGTGAATGTTTTTATTTATTTATTCATTCCTTTTTCACAGCTTGCCACTTCTTTTTTTTATTAAAAACAGACTCAGGAGCTCCTTGAATTTCAGATTTTGCGTGCCTATAATTAATAATCGTGGGAAAGTGAAACTTTACACACATACAAAAAAATATTGGCCAATTTGCAGCAAGCTCCAAGACATTAACCAGAATGACAACCTTATCATTACACGTGCAGCCCTATCGAAATGTCAAGAATTTTCACTGACTAAGTCTACATTGCACAGTCAAAATAGCCCTTTCTTACGTTGCTACCTTACTGCTTACCACAACCAATTTATTTTGTAAGTGTACAGGTACATTAATTTCTAAATGTAGAGCTTAATAATCAGAGTCAGCGGTTTACCTTCAAGTTTTACAAAGAAATTGTCATTTTTTCCCCTCCTATTTCTTTAAATATTTGATTTTTTTCTATGTTTAACATGTTTAATATTGCCAGAATGTTGTATGAGGGATGGGTTTCTAAAAACTTAGTTACTTTGTAATAAGTGAAAAAATGGAAATTTTATGTATAATTCCCAGCAAATTTGAAAAAGTAGAACAAATAACAACATAGTGACACGATGTGCACAGCAAGTGCATTTGACAATCTCCACACACCTACAAAGTTCAGTTCATGTCTAAATTACTAAATGTTGCCAATGTAGGGACATGCATTTTTAGCTACCACTAGAGTTTTACGCAAGTGAGTTAAGGCTAAATATGGGTTTTTCTATGCAAATGAGCTAATAAAAATGCATTAAAATTTTTGAAGAAAGTTCAAATTGATTTTCTTATACATACTTAGTACTCAAAATAACAACATAGTGTTCTTTTCCATTCAATGTATTTAAACACATCAACAAAACACCGTCGGCGCAAGGGCATATATCCTATTTAATTTAAAATAAATAAAGTGTAATATTAAGGAGAATATTCCAAATATTAATGCAATTGCTGCACAAATTCGATAAAAATTTTACTAAACACACACCTACAAAGTTAAACAATTGCAGTCGACAGCAATATCTAAATTATTCCTTGTTTCTGTAAAACAAAGTATGGTAGCTGCCCTTGCGCCGAAGCGATTTTGTTGATGTTTCTTATATACTTGTGTAGTAAAGGTTGATGACGTCATAATACGACGTCATAATATGTACTGGCAATCAAATATCGTGGGTACCAAGAATGTATTAGAAAACAAGTCTTAACATTTTCTTTGCGGTATGTATAGCAATTATGAGTCTTAATTAATTATTTTGCATAGAAACCTCCATACGTAGCCTTAACTTACTTGCGTAACCTTTTATTTTCTCAAAGCTGAAAGGGTTATTCTTTCACAACCATATTGCTTGTTGCCTCTTCCATGCTACTCATGCAGGTTTCTGATAGATTTTGTCCCCATCAACTGAACTCTGATGACTTAACAATATAGCTTCTTGATTAAAATAATTTAGACTGGGTTACATTGGTTTTATTGCAATATAGGCAATCTTCATGAAAATCACAAAGTGTTTTGCTTTAGACATTTATAAAAAAGGGAATGATAGGGGGGATGATAGTTTGGGGGGGGGGGGATTATTACGTACTGTTATTGATCATGATGGTAGCTACATTCTGTGTGCATTTTGAACTTAATTCTGTAACTCTGCTTAGCAGCTACACTGATGATTTCACATTGCTAATCTATCAAGGTCCTTATGCTGAGAAATGCTAATGTTTGTCTGTGCACAATGAACAGCACTATCTGTTAGAGTACCTGGCTGTTTTCAGGCAAAGTTCACAATATTTAAAGGTTAACAATCGGATGTATCAATATTTATGTCACCCCTCCGATGGTGGTTTTGCACTGCTTTTGATATTCAAAATCACTTTTTTTAAATGATGGACTACCTATACACACATATATAGGTCTTTAACAATATTTGTACTTACCTGGGAATTAAAAATTAAATCAAGATTAACTAGTCTGTCGTAATGGGGCACTAGAAGGGTTTCTCCAAGACTTTTAAGCCTTTTTCGTTGGTCATCTTCAATATTTCCTTGGTCGTCCTCATTTGAAGCAACAGGTATCTGTCCCAGGTGTCCTGGTAAACGTGTGCCGTATTGGTCGCTGCTCAAGTCACTTTTCAAACAAGCACACACTGTCGCTAAAATTATGATCAAGAGTAAATTCCAAAACTTGACAACTTTTAAAAGCACCATCGTCATCTGGATTCTAGATCAACATTTGTTGATCAGTGGTCCAAAAAGCAAAATTATCTACAAACTTCACTAACTACGGCAGATTGTATTTTCTAAACGGCCCGTGTGTATAGCCATTCACTGCATGTTTAACCAGTGTGAAAAGCGTGTCGTTGACCCAGAGGCTCTATTTTGGCAATGCTGTGCTCAGGATTAACTCCCTCGTCATTATTCAACTTAGGTATAAAGAATTTGAATTTTTTGCCATATTTAAGAAATACCAGTGAAATTAGACTATGAGAAGATAAGAAACAACAAAATTAAAATTTGTTGGTTCATTTTCATGTTATTATTATTTTCAACGGACGCGGCGAAAACAATTTTTAATTTTTTTAAACCGAGGGGAGGTATTCTAAGACAGTGGTAAACACAACAGCCAAAAGTTTTGGAAAAATATGAACAGTGACACATTTTTAAGAAGTTAGAACGAACTTCGAAGACAACATAGATTTGAGAAATGGACAGTCTTTGTGAATCAAAATGAGGATGACATTATGATCGGTGATAAAGGTGAGAGAAAGGTGCAATACTGTTATGTTGTTAACAGGTGCGTGTTTGGGACATTAAAAATACTGTGTTGGGACCTTTAGTGTCAACTTCTGTCGCGTGCTGTGACATCGCAGTTTGAGAGAACCGCGTGTTTTGTTTGATATGATTTGTTTAAGTAAAATACTAATATCTCAAAAAAGCGGTATATATCTCTAGTACTTCGTACTACTGCGGGAATTTAATGCACATGGCGATTTACCGTAATTCTCCTAATGATCGCGCGCGCCTCCTATCTTGCGCTGTGTACATCAGTGTTGTTTTATGTTTTGCGTACCTAAACGGTTGGGTTAGTCTGTCTGTCTGTTCGTTTGTCAAAAAACTTCGTCACAGTTTTTCTGAATATCACAGGTGTAAGGTTATACTTGCTTGGTCAAATTGTCTCTACTTTAATATAAATAAATAAATGTTCTAATATTAAAAAAAATCACTGAGTTCAGTATCTACATTTCTTTTCTCAATCACTTTGATTTGTCACACTACTGTTTTACTACTGGGATAAGAAGAAGGACTGTAATGATTTTAAGGGTCAAGGTCATGATTTCAAAAACTTTGTTCTTACAATAGGAGCATAGACTGGCATATCAAGTAGTTCTTTTTGAGTACAATATACATCTGAATCATGTTAGGGGTTAATTGTTCCAACGACCGAAGGGCCAGGAAATTTCTCTACCATTTATGACATAATTCCCCAGTTATTCTGGTATTCCGTCTCAACCTCCTGTTTGGGAAAGAACCCCCAAAGCCCGGCCTCCTACTTGTGATTGTCCCTTACTAAACATCCAAGAAAACATTAATTCAAGACATTGTCCAAATTTAACATAAGAAAAAATAAGTTGAAATCATTTGCACAAAACTTACATTGTTCATGCATCTAGGGATGTTAGTAGGAGCTGCCATACCCCAATACCTTGGGTTAGTGAATATTTGGGGTGGGCATTTTCATGCCCCCCACCCCCTATGTGTACATGATGGAAGAGGCCAAGGCATATAATCAATGTTGTTATGTCCATCTTCCATCCTTTTGCTCTTATGTCACTCTTTGCATTTAGCTGAGTTTCAAAGATTTCAAGATATATACATATTGGGTATATACATATTGATGAATGCTATTCAAACTGCATCAAAATTTTTTACCTTTCTTTTGACCTTGACCTAACTTTTCTTGAATTAGTGTTTAGATCAGTTTAAGAGAAACCATTCAAGAAATGTGTCACCAAACCTCATTTATTTGAACAAATGTTATGTTGCATTACTATATACTGAACCCTGGATGGAATATTCATGTTCAATGAACATATTTCTTGTTTTTATTTACAACTTGCTCAAAGGCAAGTGACTTTTTTAAATAGGGGGGGGCTGGACCCCCCCCCCCTCCTTAGAATTAGCAGAGTTATTAATTATACATACTATAGCAAACAAAAAGTGACTCTAGAACAACCCACTCCTGATCCCCATCTACAGTGTTGAGATTGAAGTATATTAGTCATATCATTGTTTTGTTCTTCTTTCTGTTAACAAATATCATTTTTACTAACCATATAAGATATTCATCAACTTAAACTTGGAGGCAAAACATGTTTATAAACTTCAACTTAAAATTTTCTTAAAGATAAAACATTTTAGTTTCATATCATGCCACTTTTTTATGAGAACTACTTATTTCATCTTACTATCTGAAGAAAAAAAATAGCTGCAGTGGTAAAGCCAGCCCAAGAATGCCTTGATATAGATTTTTTATGTGCTCTAACAAGTGGTGGTTTGTGAGTGGTGCTATCAGTTAGGTGTGGTGATGTAAGAAAACACCTGGATGATAAGATGGAGGCTAAAGATCACACATGATTACACACAGCTTCTGTGTACTTTGTTTATTTCTGTAGCAAAATGACCCAATGCCCAATAAAATTTGAGTTTTTTTCCCTGCAGCGATGGAAATTTTTATTGACAGTCCACAAAATCATGAATGAAATGAAATTCTTGAAAGTAAATTTAGCATAAACTGAAGTGGCAATATATGTAACACACCAATGGTATTAAAGATGAACTTTTACAAAATCTTTCTGACCATCTCAATTTCATAAACTAATACATATTTGCATAATGCAATTCCATGCTTTGGATAACCCTGCCATATATGGAATATGTAACAATAGTGCATGCTCTATCCTCCCAAATATTGGTGGTTATACCTGTTAAACTGGGGCCCCTTATATTGTGTGGAACTTTCTAATAGAGGAGATTGAGGATACTCTGCACAACACATCGGAAAATATAAAATTACCAAAACAAAATTCAAAAATTTATCAAAAAAATGTTTTGGGGGAAAAATTGATTGGCCCTTAGAGTCTAAACCTTTTCTTTTCTGAATCTCTTAAATATTTACACAAGAACAAGAGTTGGAAGTCATGTTGGTGCCATAAGGGACTGTAAACTTAGGGGCAGGAGGGATGATACCCAAATGTCAATTTGTTGCATATTTTTTGAGTAATATGCATCATAAGCAAAGGGTACAGCATTAAAATCCATAGCTGCATTTATCTAAAAATTATGATTTTTTTTTTTATTTTCTGAGTTTATGCAGAATCTCTGCCTTCTCTGGTCTTTATGTGCTCTATGGAGGGACACCTGTCCTTGACCTTACTGATAAAGTCTGAGTGAATCATTCTCCTTAGTTCACCTGGCCACTGCAGTGAGTGGCATAATGATGAAATTAAGTCATCAATCACCGAGCGTCACAAATACTTATGTACACAGGTAGATTACTGCGGCCACCCTTATCTGGGGTAAAGACAATATTTGTGGTCTGACCCACTGTGTTCCCCCTCTCCCTATGTGTTAAGTGGTGATTATTCCCCGCTTTCAATCTACGGGCCACCTAAGCCTGAGGTTTGAGCCAACATGACAGGTTCACTACATGTAAAGTAGAAATACTATGTATTTTGAGATGGAGTAGATTAGGGGGTTTTCTGTCTTATTATAGTTATTGTAAATGCCCAAGCTGGTATAACACTGACTGGAATTTAAGGCCAAGCAACAGTCTGCTTTGTTTGGACTGCATACAATATAAATATGATTCAGAAATACAGTAAAAAACTAGATTAATTGATGACTTGAAAATGGTTTCTGATCTGATAGGTAGGTAGAACTATATGAAAATGTTTGAAAAAGTAGAAAATTAGCAGGACCATTTAGCAGAGTCTTGGTATCTTCAACTATCTTGTATTCTTTTAAGATCAGAAGTACTGTAGATTCCTTCTTTTTCGCGAGTAGTTATTATCGCGAATGGGCTTTTCAACATCAAATTGCGAGAATAATATTTCGCGAATGGACGTTTGGTGAAGAGATTTTACATAGATTTCAGCACCATAAAAATAAAGGCGAATAATTTTATTTCGTGTGTTGTGCTTCTCGCATTAATTCCACGCGTATATTTAGGAATCTACAGTATCAAGTATGAAGCAAACTGTTATGTTCCCTGCTTGAAACACTGTTGTATGGAGTAGATGTTACCGGCCAGGGGGCCATTGTGAGGACTTCCTTAGTCAGTCTAGGTGGGGTAGAATCAGGTTAAGTCGGGGTACGTGTTTGCTGGCAGTAAAAGTTGAAGCTGGGCTCTGTGGCTTGTCAGTGAAGGATTGAAAGGCTCGTTATCAGACTGGTGGGGGTAAATCCTTCCTAAACACACTGTACACATTGCAGGGACCCTCAGGATCAATCAGGAATTATTTCTCTGCATATACGCATGTAATATGTAAAGCAGCACTTCTGTGTTAAATTGGGAGAAAAGACAGACTGAATTTGCTTTGTTTTGTTCTTTATCATTGATATCCGCACAGCTTATAATCTCATAGTAATTCACAGTCTTAATAGATGGCAACTAGAAAAAAAATTAGGAACTTTTTTACACAGATATTTTGTTACATTTTAATTTGAAAAAAAAATATCTTCTTTTTGTTTTTAGCCTGAAAATCATGCTTAAAACATGAAGTTAGTCAGCACTGTGTTGCTATGGCATGTGATGTGTTGCTATGGAGATGGTATGCAGCACCTTGTGTTACTGGACAACCTTCCTGCTGCCTTCCAGGGGAATGTTACACCCGACCTTATTGTCACCACTAATTTCAGCGTATGTATTAAATTCTAGGAAAAATTTAAAGACTAACAGTAACTGTAAAGTTCTATTGTTGATACTGAGTGATTGAAACCTGTAATAATGCAACAAAAAATGAACAGTCTCAAAGTTGATGGGACTGAGAAAAACTGAGAGATATCTGAGGTTTACATCTTACTGAGATTAAAATTAATGAAGAATTGATATATGAGATATTGATCATAGTTCATATGTAAATGTTGTGAGGGTTTATTATTTGGACAAATAAGGTACTGATATTAATACAGTTAACAGAACAGTAATAGGATTACATGGTTAATTTTCTATTTAGGCTATACTGTACGGTTTCAATCATGCTTATAATAATGTTGTTTGTTTTCAATAAATTGATTTGTGACATAAACTCTCAATTCCAGTAATTATTTGGTTGTTATCACATACAGATCAAAAGATTTATTGGATTGCAAATGTTTAGTGTAATCATAATGAGCAAAGTAATCATTAAAATGATTTTGTAAATCTGCCAGTTATTTACATGCAAGCACTATGACATGGGACCTTGCTAGCTCTGTCAATTTGTCCTCACTTCAGCAAATCATCAACCTACATGTATATGGTGCAATGATGCACACACATATCATCATACATCAACATTGTCCCTTATTTATTCTACCACAGGGCGAGACATAAACAGTGATCAAAGCACGTCTACATAAGTAGGACACAATTTGTGTGGCATAGACACAGATAAGTAATAAGATGTGTGTGTACATTCACACAAAATAAGTCTTCTGTTTAGGGGCATTTTCTTACAAATGACCAATGATTTTAGGGAGAAACCTCCAGCATTTGGTTTGACATCCTCATCAATAAAGATTATGCTTTATAGTAAGAAACTGAATAAGGCTTTAGCACATATATTTCCTGAAATCTTTAAAGCCATATAGCTTGGGCCCGTGGATCACATGAATGCAAAATCTCTCAACAATTTAAAGTTATTCATAAATAATAATATTAAAAAATTAATTTAATAATAATCATCAACTACCGCCATGTTGATTACGAAAATGCTTCGATTTTCAAAACTAAAATGTTGTTTAACTTAGTTACACCATATGTTTTAAAGAAAAACCTTGTAAAGCAAGTTTAACAGCACTGTAAAAAAAATTCTTAAGGAATTCGGAATGAACTTTGGTAGTAATGAAGATTGTTTATTTTTGAATAGATATGGATAGAAAGTAAAATCATTTGTAAAAGAATAATTTAATACTTTCTTGGGTTAAGGGGGTAAGAAACTGAATAAGGCTTTAGCACTTCCATCTTTAAAGCCATATAGGGGATAGAATGCAAAAACTCTCACAGTATTCATAAATAATAATATTAATCCTAATAATAACTTGAATTTCCTCATAAGCTAGTTCTTTTTAACCAAGTTTAACAGCACTGAATTCTTGTCCTAGATCATGTAGATAATTTAGTACTTTCTTGGGTTAAGGGGGATGGGGTTACTGTAAACCAACTATTATTCACGTTATCTTTAATTCGCAAATCGTCAGTTTGAAATCAGTCCGCGGCAATTCATTTTCGCGACCAGGGAAACAGTCTCTACAAATACTTATTAAAATTATTGGTTCATGGCGATTAATATTTGAGAACGAAAGTGAGTCGCTGAACTCGCAAATATTTCTTGCATGGGAATAAAAGTTGGTTTACAGTAATTGATAGCTACCTCCTTTCACACAATTTATGTGAAAAAAAGCAAAATAAAAATTCCCTTCCATTGGGTATTCCAAAAGTTACAGCTCTGGTTCATTTATTTGCATCATATTTAGTACTAAGAGCTACTGCACTAGTAGAAGGAGGTTACAAAAAGTAAATATGGGTTGAGAGGGTTGTTCACAATTTTTTGCTCCATTTTTTTTCTTCCAAGTTGTTTCACAGGTCTACCGGTACCTAACAGGCAAAGTTCTATACATAATATCTTGGACCTTTGGTGGAGTATCTAGCTTTGCTGCATGGGTACATGTTGAAGTGGTCAATAGTTTTATCTTTTAAGATGCTTTTTTCCTGTTGACAATACTGTGAAAGTATTCGAACATCGTAACATGTCTACAGTGTATGAAGACTACCCTGTCACCGAATGTTAATCCTTGAGGAACATCTGTATATGCTAAGACTTACCTTGGGTGGTATATTTTGTCAATATGTGGAATTACGGATTATCATGTAAAACAGACATGTAGATCTTTTTAAAAATGTTAAAAATTCATTAGTTCCTTGAAAGGTATTTATGTGCCAAACTTTAACACTATTGTATGTGTCGATAGAAAAAGAAAACTAGTCTTAGACCAATATTAAGGACCAAGACCAGCACATAACTTTCTTCATATCATTATGCTGATGTTTTATAAGTTTAATTATACACCAATGTCACCTTAGGGTACCTCATGGGAGGGGTGATTTATAATAAAAACAATTTTGTGTTCATGAAATTCATCAAAAAATGGAGAGAGAGAAACAAGTATTTTATTATTAAAATAAAATAGAATGTTCTGTATTTTTTAATATAGATATAAACTTAGAATATTGCTTTATTCAAATATTTGGCAAAAGACATCCATTACAGATTGATTAAGGGAGGGGGAAATTCTGCTTTCATAATGTTTATAAGGATTTTGGTCAGCTTTTTTAATTAAGTGGACTTTGAACAAATTGGTTTACCTAGAAAACACCTGAGTGATTTAGTGTACAAAACCGCAAACGTAAGAAGCTCTTTACTTAAACAAGAACTTGTGTTGACTTAACCGGGCACAATAGATAACTTCAGTCAATATTGGTAGTTCTCCAATGTAAAAGGTGAAATAAATCTGGAAGGCAGTGATATAAAAACCGTTTGTTATTGTAAGTTTACTCATTGCAGGCCCCATGAGAGCGCTTGAAGGACATGTATTAAGAAACAAGACTGTAGATATAAGAGGGGGATTTTTGTGTGTGCATTGTAATAAAATCTGAAAATCAAAAATGAACAGAAAAAAAAAGATTCAGAACATGCCAAGACTTGACAGCAATGCAGTATTAAGAAAGAACAGGTTTATTTTAAAAGCTTCAGTAAATGTAATCGTTTTCTTTGGTACTATTTTATTTTGAACTTCAAAGCACATGCACTACACATAAAAATTTTTGATTGTTTAAAACTAGTTTACTAATAATTTTTTTTAATTTTCCTGAAACTGTGTGTAGGATCAGAGTGTGTACGTGGGTATAGACATGTTATCATGTTGGATGAGCAGTCTATCATTTCACTTCAAATCAATGCTATTGAGGTATTCATAGAATTCTAGGTAAAAATACATTGAATTGAATTCAATCAATTAAAAAATGCAAAGAAATATGAATTTATTTGTAAGTATTTAATATCCACAATGTCCTCCCATGCTATTTATAAAGTATATTATGAATGGACAACATTTTCAGTTGACCTCCTTAAAAGTATTTATTGTTTGAACAGATGGATGTGTGGATATTGATCGGCTATATAATCCCTAAACCTTGGAAAAAACATATCATCATTATGTTTTACCAGCATCTCAAGATGGGTTGGTTTATTTGCTCAAACTGTGAAAATGTTCTTCTCAAATGATAAAACATTGACCATACATGTATTAAAAGTCGATCAGTACAGACCTGCAACTTTAACCTTTGGACAATCCCTAAAAAAAATGAAAATTTCAAATTGGACTTTAATTATTTAAAGAATTATAGTAGGACTGACATGAGGATTGAAATAAAAAAAAAAACATAACCTTGTAAAGAGAGGTCAAGTTTATATGGTTGTTGAAGGGCAATCAAGGAAATGTCACAGGCATTGACCTTACAAGGCCAAGACCATGAATTGTGTTTCATAAGTAAATCATATATTTAAAGAAAGCATTAAATTCAATACTTGTCTTCAAATAATTGTATTTTAATTTTCTTAATTGTTTATACCTAGAGGGAGCATTGTGATTTAAACATGATTTGGTTGATGTCTTTTTAGCCATGTATTTATAATTTCAAGATGCTCATGACCACAGTGCTGGTAATAAGTACCAATTAAGAAAACACAGATTTGGTGTAAAGCAATCAGCGTTGAAAAAATATTGACATAGCAGTCTGTTGACATTAAATAGGAAAATGGAGTCAAATACTTAACAGCAAAATATCCCTGTTGCAACATGTCTGGAAGAAAAATAAGAATATTGTTTGCACTTTGTGTTAGTAGCTGTATGTCTATAAAATAATTTTACCTCTTCTTGTTATATTAGTATTCTTTGCTATTTTTATTTAACAACAACTGGTCCAAATTAAGCACATTTAGCCTTTTAGATATCTTTGTAGGGTAGGTGGGTTTACTCAGGCTGCAAAAAACTGGCAAATTAATATTTCTTAAAATCAGTTTTAGAGAATCAAGGGTTATCATATATATAGGGAAAAAGCCACTGAATTGCTTTGGGAGAAAATAATATATCTATATAGAACTACAAGAGAGTGGTATTGTGGTTTGCATCAAGTATACAGAGCTGAATTTTGCCTTATCATTTGATTTTTTTCATTTTCAAATTTTGATTTTTTTTTTCTATCTACAAATGTCTTTAAATTTTCTATTACATGTATCACCTTTCCCTGGGATTTTATATCAGATTACATTTTAATGCAAAAGTTATGACTAGAAAATCTCAAGCATTAAAGTCTTAACGGTGCATAAAATGAGGAGATATGATGAGTTTTGCTGCAGCCTGCATTAAAAGTCCATCTCTCATACAATTATGATAATATTTGGAGCATGGCTTGGTGACAGTAATATACACGCAGCATCAGGCTCACGAATCCTGAAATAAGAGCAATTTTATGCACAATCTGGTGAAAAAATTGCCCATTTAACTGACTTCATACCTTGTTGAATACGAGGGACCAACTCCCTGTAAAGGAACTGATTGTGAATCAGATAGTGTAATTGACTCGACTACTCTTCTCTA